GCCCGCGTACGTGCAGCCTTTAGCCATGGGTGTGTACTGTCTGCGGCAACCACTGCTGATTTATCGAGCTTCGATTCAGTTGCATGTGTAATATCATGTGTCATTTTTATCTCGGATCAAACTTTTAAAACTTCGAAAGAACATGGAACTCAAACTTCTCTGTTCCTTGGATTAATATTGTTAGCTAGAGACGTTTCAGGTAGGCAAATTAAGGATATTTCTGCTGTTGATAGATGTTCAAGTTTCCCTTTGTTTTTATTTTCTAAACCAAACGGTGGTTTTGCAGAGCTTGATGACCCATTCAAGTTTATTTCCTCTACTTTCATGTGCATGTAGCTGAAGATGTAAATGGAGCTTATTTATTTATTTATTTTGTTGTAAACTCTGAAGATAGTGAAATTCCGTTTCCTGCAGATTCAGCAATTGACAGCCTTTGGGACTTTCAGGTGTAGATGGTGTGGACAGGAGGACCGAAATTAAACTGAATCGAGAAAATCATGGTCCATTGGCAGCCCAGCCCATGACCTGAAATTTACCTCTCATTAATAGCAACCTCGGTGTGGCCCATTTGGTCATTTTTTGTAGGCCCATTTGGCGAACTTTTCATAGGCCCATTTGGATTAAAAATGTACATGAAGGCCCCTCATGTTGCCATTGAATTACAAAGTCGTCGCCTAACCGCAAAACCAAAAACCAAATATGTCATCTATCATCTTACAAAACCGGATCATTTTTTATCTTTAGTCAGTTTTGATTCCGGTTTTATCCGATGTGGTAGCTAAGTCAACGTGGGACCCACGTGGTCCCCACACGCCAGCCTCTTCTTTCCCTGGCCTCCTTCTCTCCACCCTCTTCCTCTCTCCTAACCTCTCCATAGGTAGTGGTCGGCAGAGAGCAGCTAGGCACGGCATGGCAGCAGGCTATTGCGGTAGGCGCTAAACCCGATGGAGACTATTTTCTCTCCATTTAATCCTCCGTGGTGACGCAATTTTCACACCACCCCCGCCTCCTAATGGGAGGATTCCCCGCGGGGAATCAGGGGATGGGGAACCATTGCCATCCCTAATTTGGGTGATGCATCGGCACTTCTCTCTCTCTTCCTTTTTTTTTTCTGGGCCATCTCCCGTTTCTCGTCTTTATATCGAGTTTAATCGGCACACAGTGAAGCTAATATGGCCACACACATGGTGGATAATTAGTAGACTCGTTAGCACCTGGAAGAAATAATTCTTTGCGTACATATATATATATATATAGGAAATCGATCTAGCTAGTCCAGCTTTATTTCTTTTTCTGGTTCATTAATCTCTGAATTTTTCTGCTAATGAAGCGCAGCACATGAGTAGCGAATGAAGCACCATCAAACCGTGCATGCATGTAAGCCAAACATCATTTCTGAAGACGAAGCTGGAGAGATTGGAGATTAAGAGCATGTTTGGTACAGCTCTAACTCCTAAATTTAGCTTCAGGAATTAAGTCTGTAGTGTAGTTGTGGAGCTGCCTAAACCCAGCTACACAACTCTAGTATATTTTATGAGTGAGTTCCACCCAACTCCACTCCCAGTTTTGGTGGAGCTAAAACTGTTTGGCTGAGCTCCAGCTTCAGAAGGGGTGGAGCTGAAGCTGGAGCTGAGCCAAACAAACCCTAAAACTCCTATCCGAGCCAGACCTCTTTCTTCTTCTCAAGCACGCTCTGGAAATACGGCTCTCTTCTTTTTTAGATAATGATGGCTTTCTCTTCTTCATCAGGAATTAATTCACGACAATGATTGAGGCTAATAGATTGAACAGATTTTTAAATTACTCAGCTATATATGGCAGGATGCCATGGAAATTGGATTCGGAAATTAATTAACCTGCAAAGACAATGAGCCAACAAATTTTGGCCGGTCCAGTACAGATCTGTGCAGTGGGCAAATTAAAGTGGGGATCGGAGATTAAAACTCCGAACCTCTTGACTTCTTTTTTTCTCCCCACATGAATGCATGTGATCTTCTTCTCAGGCACCCATGCATGGCTCCCTTCTCCTTTATCGATCACACTCACGCATGCATCCACATCTGATCGATCGAAGCTAATATATATGGCCACTTACATGGTGAAGAAATCGATCGATCGATCGCTCATCAGCATCTAAAGAAATTAATCTTCGTATACGAAAAACCTAGCTAGCCCTTTCTTTCTTTCTCGATCTGGTTCTTCGCATTCTCTGAATTTTTTTCTGCTAATCAACAGGGCACGTAATTAAGTATAATACTATTAGTACCATTGACCCGTTAATTGCATAAGTGAGCGATCGAAACATCATTTTTTAAGCCAAAGGGGTCGGAGTTTTGAACTCCGAACGAACCGCCCCTCTGACGGCCATCGGCAACCATGTTCGATGATGCCGGCCGGACTTAGGGGCGGAGACTGTGTGGGGGCGGGGGGCCTTAAAATACCATCAGAGCCCCCATAATATCCCTTTAAAATTCTAATCCATATATTTATTGATGAGGGGTTAATATAGACTTTGTTTAAGGTTGTTAGAAGGCTTAAAAGGCTAAGAAGGCCCAACAAATCCTAACCCAATCCTAAATCTCTCTTAGTTGCCCTTGGCCATTTTGATTTAGCCCCCGCTATAATTTTATTCTCGCTCCGCCACTGGCCGGACTCATGATCGACTCGCCTGAACGTACGTAATCTCTTGCAGCCTTCAATGCAGGGCTCTAGCTTAGCTTCAGGTGTTGAAACGCATCTGGCATGCAGCTTTCTCATCCATGGATGTTCATTCACTCTTAATTAGCTCGATCTGTCGACTGTAGCAATGCGTCTCGACAATTCAAGAGGCCCTAGTTAGCGGGGCCTATGATTGAGACTTGCATGTTGAGGCCCATCACTACAAGTAAGTCCCACTTGTGTCATTCCTCACCTTTAAATCGAGTTTAATTGGCGTCTCTAAATGGCATTTGCCAGATATCTTCACCCCCATATCTCGGTAAAACCGTCCAAGTCAGGTCCCATGGTAATATGGATGGATGCTTTGTCTAATGTGGTATCCTAGTCAGAAAAAAGAAAAAAACATATGAAACCCATATGTAAGTGTACTTCCACCTTACCCTTCTGGCCCTCTCTTTCCCATCTCTCCACCACTCCCCTCTCTTCCACGGGAGCTCACCGGCGGGGAGAGGAACGACGGCCAGTAGGGATGGCAATTGTGCTCGTTTGTCCGTTTACCCGTGGGTAAAAACTCTATTAGGGTTGGGTTTGTTCTCCATTTTATACCCATGGGTATCTTATTGGGTCAAAAGCTATGCCCGATGGGTAAATGGGTATGGGTATGGGTAATCACTACCCATGCCCGCTTTACCCGTTTACCCGCGAAGTCTAACTTACATGTAGGCGAGGAGCAAAATCCACTAGAATACATAAGCCACGTTCTTTGTTTTCTACGGTTTCCCTTTTATTTCCCTTATTATTTCTCTTCCCCTTACTCTATCGCCGCCAGAGGAGAGACACCACACCGAGGCGGAGAATATTTGATGTTTTAAGTTCAATTCGAACTTAGAAGCTTGTAGACTTTTTGTTCCACTGCTTTTGTTGTGGCGGGTAAACGGGCACTCCCGCGGGAAATGGGCATGGGCAACCATTCTTACCCATCATGTAGTATGGGTAGGCACTACCCGTGCCCGTCGCGCCCGATTGCCATCCCTAGCGGCCAGTGAGCTTGTCCACGTGAGGATGGTGGGAGGTCGGCGACGAAGGGGCTTCGGTTGTCCGTAGCAATGGAGGAGAGGAGTAGGAAAGTGAGGGAGCCAGTCGTCCACAGCGGCGACGAGAAGGAATACACCTTAGATTTGAGATGGGATGTAGGCCAATCATGGAAGAAGCTAGTTGCAGCCCCTTCGAACCTGCTCACGCACCGTCCTCCGTGAGACTAGGGCTCACTCACACGAGAAGAGAGGGTAGCATGGGTGGACTCGGGAGGAAAGGAGCCCCATCCTGAGGAGGCGAAGAGATGGAGGGGGGGGGAGTCCAGCGGTGGTGGTGGTCCTTCCTTAAATTGCTTCCTCATCACCACTCCAGGCGTCCTGTCCCGTCCACGCCATGCGCGCGCGCGGTTAACCTACTCATCGGCAACGCGCGTACAAGGAGGTGAAGTGGAGGAGGGGAGGAGTCTGGTGATGGCGGAGACTCTCCTCGCCCTGAGTAACGAGGGGGAGAGATAGAGAAAGAAAAAGGAGGGAGAGAGAGGAGTGAGAGAAGAGGAAAGGAGGGTGAGGATGATACGTCGGGCCCATTTTTGTTTTTGTCATGTAAACGCCTAGCCAACACAAGTGGACCAGGTCAATTTGCCACGTCCGTGAAACCCAAAAGACCTAATTTAACCATGTTTTGCAAGTTGGTGTTTAAGATTTTTGGTATTGCAGTTTAGGGATGCCAATTAAATCCGGCGTAAAGATGAGGGAAGGTAAGTGGACTTATTCGCAGATAAAAAGGCCTACTAAGCCCACCAAATTTAATGGGCAGCACGTAACTCGCATTTTATTTCCGGGGCAATTGCTCAAATGCCACTAGGGTTTACCGTATTTGTCATTCTGCCACTGGTTTTTCATCAATTGGTAGAATGCCACTGGTTTCACAGTTGGGCACGCCAAAATGACACTCTGTCGTTAAGACGGTTAGTCTACACGTTAGATTGGAGCAATTACCAGTCTGCCCTTATTACGGATTTTTGTGTTTCTTTGCCAACCGATGGTAGTTGGATATAAATGACGCAAGCTTTTGTGAAGAATGGTATTATTTCGATATTTTTTTCCTATTATATTTTTGAGGTTGCAGGACATTTATTTTATTTTTTTATATGCATAATTGTACCATGGTCCTTACGTTAGATTTATTTTGTATTTTTTAACAGGATGGGTCATTTTGTTTATATTTAATTAATGAATAAGATTTTTCAACAAATATGATTCTATTAGCACTAGCTCAAATGTAAGCGAGCAATCCATAAACATACATGAATCAAACATCATCAACTTGCACATAGGCACACAACTGGTTTCATCAGAACATAGCCACCATGGTTCAAGTGACTTAGACATTACATAACAAAAGCACATTTTTGTTCCAGTACTTAAAGAACATACCATGGTTCAAGCGACTGAGACATTAAATAACAAAAGCACATTTTGTTCCAGTACTTAAGAACAAAGGGCTCCAAGAACAAAACACAGATTAGTTTCATAGACTATCATAGAGCATCATCATCTACTGCCACTTTTGAGTTCCATCAGATTGGAAGACAACACTAGATGGAATCTGGAGTTGGTTTGTTCCTTCCAACCTTTCTTGGCCTGGGAATGTTTGGAGTTGGCATAGCACTGTTCAAGGTTTGCAAACAAAAGACTAATTAGCACTAGAGTAATTAGCACATAAGATGTAGTTAGTATTTTTAGTTTGAATAAATTTAAACTAACCTAGAAGATGTAGTGCAACTGTCCTTTTTAGCCCTTCCTGCCTTTTTTGGTGGCATTTGGACAGTGATGGAAGGGTCATTGCTTCCCTGCCCTGAATCCATTTCAGGGGTTGAGTTGCTCTTAGTCCTGCATGTAATAAATCATTAGACTGAAATGAATACACTTATGATGTACAAAGAAATGAAAGTGGCATACATTGTATTCCTTTTCTTCTTTGTTGCAACCTCTCCTCCCTGGCAGTTTTTATCTCTATGACCAAATCCTCCACATTCTTTGCATTTGTGCTTTGTATTTTGTCCAGATTCATCTGAAGCTTTGATTCTGTTTTTCCTTGGCCTTCCACGCTTCCTCCTTAGTCTAGGTTTTTGTAACTTAAAGCCAGGATCCACAAATTCCCATTGGTGTTTCCCTATTATGGGCCTAAACACTACAGAGTATGCTAGCTGCAACTTCTCTACAGAGAAGTACTTATCCACATATGTGTGCATTGATGCACCTCTGATTGAAGTAATGAAAGCAATAGCATGTGTACAAGGTTTGCCACACATTTGCCATACTCTGCAGCTACATGTTTGGCTATCTAAGTCTACTGCATACCTTAGTTCCATACCTTGGTTATCAGGGATAGTCACTTCAGCTGTAGTTAGTGTGACCCTACTAACTTTATGTTTCTTTAGCCCTATGCTCTGTTTATTGAGATCTTTAGTCACACTTGGCAGTATGACTCCTTCCATCTTACTTGCAATTTCTGCTCTATGACAGAACTTGGACACTATCTTTTGCCTAATCTTATCGATCATGTCTACAATCTGCACATCTTTCAAGTCCTTTATCCAATTATTGAAGGATTCTGACAAGTTATTGTTGATATAGTCCACCTTGGACAATTCTGAGAATTTCGCTCTACTCCACAACATAGGGTGGTTGTCATTGAGGAATTGGATTGCCTGTGGTGATTGCATCTTGATGGCATCATAATGCTTGTTGAATCCAGCCATTGTATAACTCTTAGCAGCTGGCTACATGTTCTCCGCATATACTGCTCCATGGAACTTCTTTTTGAAGTTCTTCCAAAGGTGCCTAAAACACTCCCTATGCTCAGCTATGGGGTAGACACTTCTCACTGCATTTTCCAAGCCCTTGCATGCATCTGAGCTAATGACTAAACCTGAAGGATGGCCAATGTGTCACGCCCGGAAATTCACTAGTAATTTCCGAACTTATTTGTGCATAAAATCCTCGTCCAGGAATCAGCCGAGGTACACAAACTGACAATTTAATATACAAATCCATCATAATAATAACGTTACACACTTACAAAAGAAAAGAAAACAGCAGCGGAATAACGGTCTAGCGATGGCTTCAGCTCCACTCCCACAGGCAGCTCAACTGGGGTATAAGCCAAACGTCTTCTCCTTCTGGATCCTTTTTCTTCAACTGAGGTTGATTGATTATTGCAAGAATGAGCATATGACATACTCAACAAGCCACACAGCAAAAATGCAAGTGCACAAGGATACCAAAGGATGGCATAATATAGGCTCATTTGCAAAAGCAGCATTTAGCAAAACATTTAAGAGAAGTAAAACAGTGGAGTAATTAATCAGAAATTTTAATCAACACTGAACAACACACCCATGCTGCACAGGCCCAACCATCCTGAACAACCATACCCGGCTGTACAGATCTAACTCCAAACCAGGAGCTAAGCAAATTATTACCAGGTATAACATCCATAATTATTATAAGAGGTGTGAGACTAATCACGAAAAACATTGCTCAACCCGCCCATAACCGCGGGCACGGCTATTCGAATAGTTTTACTCTGGCCAGAGGTGTACCACTGTACCCACAAGACACAGCCCCACAACATGTCACCATGTGCCTCAATACCACCACGGTACCTCGGAAAGGAGCTGTGACAGTACCCCTCGCACAACACAATCCACCACAGTGCACCGTTCCCGGATCATAATCACCCCCTTATAAACAAGGTATGGACTCCCCAGCGACCCCCGTGGGCTTATCTCCGCCACTTCTCAGTCTGGTGCTCCGCAATGAACCATGCTATACAAAAGGTAAAGCCGTTGCCCACGCTGGCTTATGGTTGGCACGGTTAATGTTTCACAACAGTAGCTCGCGAACCGGTCCTTAATTGCCATGAGCACGACCTTCAAAACCATGTGCTCACAACCCACCATTAATCATATTTTAGTTGGCAAGTAATTAAGTAACCAATCACGATTGACCATCGTGAACTATCATTAAGCCATCATTAAATAATAGTGAGTCATAAGTTATCCCAATAGTGTGCTAATGTTTCTAAGCATGGCTAAGCAATTATATCTAATATCTAGTTGAACCAATATATATAAAGCTCAACTAGTCCAATTATAATCACCCAAGGTATCAAGGAATAAAGTAATCAAGAACAAAAGGGCTATAACAAACAATAGGTTATTTCCACCCAATGACATTCGAAAATAAATGCAATAGTTGAATAGAAACAATAGCTTTAAATGGGATCAACATGCTCAAAGGGTTGTTTGGGATCTGTGTGACTTGCCTTGCTGGCCTTGGAACTCTTCAAATTCTTCTCCTGCGAAAACGGACTCTCCGGAAACGTCGGAATCTAAACAGAAAAGAGCAAAAACACCAAAACAGCACATAAACAAGCATGAACAGTACAGGTGGATATTTTTAACATGTAGATCTCAATTTTAGAAAAATTTAGAGACTTGAACCAACTAAATCCGAGCTAAGATGAATTAGTTATGAATTTTCAAAGATTAAATCGGATTAAATCATTTATTTAGATTTTAATTGAATTATGATGCAATAATGAATTATTTTTGAAAAGGAAAAGGGAATTATTGCGTCAGCGGCTAGGGTTTGCGGTGGACCGGGTGCACGGCGGCGGTTCACGGGTTTGGACGGCCGAGATCGATCCATCCAAAACGGACGGCCGAGATTGATCGGGTCTACGGCGGCTCACGGGAGACGACGACGATGACGCCAGCGATGACGTCACCACCGGCGGCGGCTCGGGCGCGCATGCTCGCCGGCGAACGACGGCGCGGCGGCGCGAACGGAGAGCACCTACGGGTAGCGGATGGCACGGCGAACTCACCGGTGACCAAAGCAACGGCGGAAGATCAACGGACGGCGACAGCGTCGAGGAAGAAACGGCGGCGACCTTCGGCTTGACGACGACGGCGAGGCTCCGGCGGTCTACAGCAACAATGAAGGGGCGGACGAGGACGGCGACGCGACGGCGACCACGACGGCGGCCTTCCCGAGCGACGGCGACGACTGGAGCGACGGCGACGCACGGCTGGAGCGGCGGCGCTAGGCTACACGGAGCTAGGGCTCTACCGGCGACGAGAGGCGAAGGCGAGGGTGGCGGCGGGTAGCGGCGGGCTTGGGGGTCCTTTTATAGGGGCTAGGAGGCGGCGGCGAAGGCCCACGGCGACCGGCGACGGCGAAGGAAGGTCTAGGGTTCGGGGAGAGAGACGAATCCGATTCGAGATCGAATCCACGGATTTCCAAACGATTTTAGCCGACGATTCCAAAAGAGAAAGGGTAGAAGGGGTCCCGGGGATCAATTCCCCTCTATTGATTTCACCGGAAACGGAAAGGCGCGGCTGAATTTGGAAGGAGACGACGACGACGCGGCGCTAGGGTTCGGGTGGCGGCCGGCCGGAGGAAGACGAAGACTGACAGGTGGGCCCCACCTGTCAGCGAGCGGGAGCGCGCGCGCGGGCGGCGGCTCGGCTGCGGGCCGACTTTGGCCAGGGAGAGAGAGAGAGAGCGGTTTTGGGCCGACTTTCGGCCCAAAGCCAAAAGAGAACTTTTAAAACCTTTTCCAATTTAAATTATTCATGAAATGCAATTCCATTTATTAAAAATACTTCCTTAGCTCAAATAAATCCCAGAAAAATCTAGGAATTATAGAATTAAGCAAAGTATTTAATGAAATTTTATCTGGCCCTATTTTATATTGGGATTTATTATTTAAAATTAGATCTTTTCAAGGCTTTTAAAATGAATTCTAATAATAATTTATTAAATAATTTATAAATCCTAAAACAAAAAAAATCAGGATGTGACACAATGGCTGATTGAAGGTTTTGAACAAACCAAGTCCAACTTTCTATGGATTCTGTCTCTATGACACCGAAAGCAACCGGGAACATCCAATTATTTCCATCAATGGCTACAGCTGCAGCAAGCTGACCTTTATTTTTTCCAACTAAATGTGTACTGTCCATGGCAATATAGGGCCTGCAGCCCAGTAGGAACCCATCAATACAAGGTTTGAGAGCTATAAATAACCTTTTGAAGCACATCTGACCATTATGCTCTTCGATATCAATCTGAACTTTACTTCCTGGCGCTGACTTCAATAGCTCTTCCTTGAAAGTAAACAGCAAAGCATAGCTATCATCCCATTTGCCAAACAATTTCTCTAGTGCCTTTTCTTTCCCTTTAAAAACCTTGTCATATCCAACTGTAATGTGATATTTCCGCTCTAGCCTTTCCTGCAACTCCTTTGGCCCCAAGCTTGGTTTCTCTCTAAGCATGTCGATAACTCTGTCACATACCCAACTGCTTGAAGCCATGTCTTCTCCTGACCTATTAACAGATGAACATATATGTTCAATTTTGTTTCTTTTTATCTGCAAATCAAAATGGCAAGATTAAAGATGATTGAAAGGTTCAGAACATAGCAAAATTAGATTACACAAATTCAATTACCTGGCAAATCTTGGTGCCTCTCTTGCATGAAGCATGAATCCTCCACTTGCAATTCTCTTCTTTTGCCCTCTTGCAAACAAGAATCAACCTTGTTTTGTCCTTCTTCTTAGTAAAAAAGCCATAAGCTTTCAGAACTGCATGGTGTGTAAAAGCTTTTTTGCATTGATTGACAATTTGGAAAAATGTACCCTCATCAACACATGGTTTGTCAATATCATGTGTGTAAACTACCTCATCATCAGTATCAGAGTCAACATCATCATTTACTTCAGAGTCCTCAGAACAACTCTCTGGTTCATATTCACAATCTGAGTCAGATGAAGAAGAATCATCGGCACTTGTGTAGCTACTGTTACTATCCACAGCTAATGAATCATCGCTAGACCCTAAGGATTCAGCATCTAACCCTGAATTTTTAGTGCCCAAGTCTACATCAACCAACCCATCTTTGACATTAGCTGCAGTCTTTTTCTTGCTTGCACACTTTGGACTCTCAAGTAGTGGGCACTTATTTAGTGCACACTCATTTTTTGCACACTCATTTGGTGTACACTCCTGTGTTGGTTGGGTCTGCTCAGCTAGCAAAGGAATGCATTGAGGAGGAGTACATGGTGTCCGATCTTGTGATTTCTGATTTTCCAATGTGTTTTTTGAAGGTGAAACAGCAATAGGACCCTCTAAATCATTTACTTGACAATGCAATCGAAGCAAATTTTGTGGTTTATGTCGTACCAACAATCTCCACAAATGCTTATCTGTTCGAACCTCAATGTACTCCTCATCATTACAATCTGGATCAGGATACCAAAAAGAAATCAACTGCCTAGAACCCCAGTCTATTGACTTTGCTAAGTCAGCACTCAAATCCATTAAGGAATACCGATCTGGATTAATATAAATTGGAATTTCTCTGCGATCTATGTATCTCTTCGGCTTACCATCTGGCATGCTAAAGAAAGCGCGGACGCTAACCAAAATTTTCATTAAATTGCCCCTACATAGCATGGAAGAAAACCTAATCAACCAACCCACTGGACGGAAAGAAAGCAAATTTACAAGATTAGTACCTATTCGGGGCTACAACTTCACTCGTTTCCATTCTGCTCGATGAATTCACAGCTCGATGTCAGCCCTGTTCGCTAAGCTTTGCCGTAGCAACTTGCTCGTCGAGACATCGCTGTAGCCGGTTGGGCCCCTCGTCCTCCGTCCTCCAGGACCTGCCACGCTTCGACTTCAGGACGCAAACGCAGCCGCTCCGTCCGCTAGGACCTGCTCGCCGAGACCCCGCCGCAGCCGGACGCCCACCGGGACGCTGCCGTAGCCGCTCCGCCCGCCAAGACCCGCCGCGCTCCGCTCAGCTAGCTGGACCCACTGCGCTCCGCCCTCCAGGACACAGCTGCAGCTCCCTGCTCACCGGAACCCGCCGCCGACACCCATCGGGATGCCGCCGACGCCCATGGAGGGATCGATCTAGGGTTTACCGAAATGAGGGGAAATTTAACGGTCAATAGAAGTTTTATAGAGCAGTTAACGGTCATTGACGGAACGAAACGACAGTGGCATCTCAAATGAATTTTTGTTCATTCTAGTGGCATTGGAGCAATTAGCTCCTTTTCAGTGTCATACTGCCAAATAGGGCGCCCAGGAGTGGCAAAACAGCAATTGTTCCTTTATTTCCGGCCCAATTAATATGGGATACACCGAGGCCGCAATTCCTTTCCGGGCCAGCATACATGGGCCGCACTGAGGCTGCATTCCCGTCCAAGCCCACGTAAAATTGCTGCGGTTTCTTCGGCTCGTTTTCCTTTTTCGTTTTTGATAGTTTCAGCAAGTATTCTTGAGATCAGAAGAGAGGCAACAATGATTATTATACCTTTGGCTAAAAAAGTGCCCGCTAGAAAATTACACAAACAGAGTTTAAAAGCTAGCTAAAAACCACAGTTCGCTTCAAAAATAGTTTTTAAGGTAAAAAGGTGGAGAGACTCTACCTTATAACCATTACCATATTTTTTTTGTTTGACGTTGGTTAGCTCAAACCAACGTCATACATTTGTGTAAGGAGGTAGTATATATTAATGGTGGGACAGTTTTACAAAGCTTCAGACAAACATAAGAAGTACAGACTTCAAAAACAAAGTGCAAAGTACAGAAAGGTCTTAGACTCTTAGTTCAGCTCGATCATCCATCATCTGATGTGAGCGCGGTGGCTGCTGTGTTTGATGTTTGCTTCAAAATAGCTCCAGAAGATGATCGAAAGATGAACCCATGCATTCTTTTCTTTTTCTAGTTGATGAAAAAGCATGCAGTGCACTTAACAAATAATTGTTTTTTTATCTGACAATGAATTATTTAGTTTGTACACAAAAGAATATTAGCAATGCAAGTATTCAGCACACTGAAAATGCAGAGTATATACACAATACACTCGGAATGCACTTGAGGATTGGTCATCCCACATAATCATCATGTGACAATCTCCGAAAGAACATCAAGTGAATAATCTATGAATGAACTGACAATCAAGTGATAATTTTTGTGGCGCAAGATAAACAAGAAGACTAAATTGTTTTAAACTTTTTTTATATAAAGTAAAAATTCCATGGTTTAAAGAGTCAACAAGCATGAATCAAATATACAAGTATGAAGATATATCAGATTTCAACTATAAATTGCTATCCACATATATAACGATGCGGCGATCAAAAATTTCAATTGGCAATGATCAAACTTCAATAGGAACCGCGATGCTATGCAATCCTATATCAAATTGAAACCCCAAACACGCAGTGCAAGTATGCAATCTTTTTCTTGATTACACCCTCCGGCCGTTCTTAAAAAAAAATCAAATTCTGAACATGTGCTTCATAGCTAGGATTTTTTTTTCTTGGACGAATGGAGTAACTATGTAGAATCCGAATAATGGTTTACCATCTCTTACCATCGCACAAAATCTACCAGAATCCCCATAAACTTTCACAAATTAAATTAACTGTTCTTTTCCTTTATCTTAACATGAAATTAACTGCGTGTGAATCAACGAATAATCGACATAACGATGATAAATGAATTCTTTCACCTGTATAATCAAAACCAAAATAACAAAAGCACAATGGAATGGAGATCATCGGCACGGCAAAGAAGAGGACACATCAACGATCGAGCAGGCATCAATCTGACTCCACAATTTTGTTTTTTCCCTATCAATTTCTTTTCTTTCCTCCCAATCGACAAAATTTTTGGAAAGAGAGAAGAACACAGCCAATTGCCAAAAAAAATTGGTCAATTGCGGCTAAATTAATCACAAGATCGAGTTATCTGTCTTCTCTTTTCCCAAGAAAAGGGAGGAGAAAAGCCAAGAAACCAACAACCGTGGTGAAGGAGAAGAAGAAGAGGGCGGCGGCGGCGGCGCCGTCGCCGGCGGCGATCACCTCCTGTCCTCTCGTTGTGAGGGGCTCCTCCAGAAGCCGCCGCCGTAGAAGCTCGCCCACACCTCCTTCTCCATGTCAACGAGGTGTTCGGCCTTGGGCGTGGCCGGGAAATCGGCGTCCACCTTCCTGGCCTTGGCGGCCGCGGCGGCCAGCGACCTCGGGGAGGCGATGTCCATGGCGCCCGTCTCCTTCGGCTTCGTGGAGCGGACGCGGCGTCGGCGCCCACCGCGGACGGCGCGGCGGCAGAGCGCGGCGGGAGCGCGGACGGCCGCGAGGACGACGAGCTCGACGACGGCGAAGGGGAAGCAGCAGAACACCGCGGCGCACTCCGCCGCCGTCCCGCCCGCCACCTCCCCGCACCGCGGCTGCTGCTCCCGCGCCCGCCGCCGCTCCCGCTCCCGCCTCATCTCCACGGCCGGCGACCTCCTCACCCTCCTCGTCGCCGACAACCCGTTCCCCGCCGCCGCTAACGCCGCCGGAGACGCCGCCAACGCGCGGCGGTGGTGGTGGTGGTGGTGGTGCACCCGCGCGGGCATGGCGATCGGTGCCACTGCGGCCATGGCGGGCGGCGGGGGCTGGGTTGCCGTTGCCCTCCCTCCCTCCCTCCTCGAGATTCGTGCGGCGGAAAACCGACGGCCGAGATAGGATGCGAGAGAGAGAGGTGGGAAAGCGGTTGCGCGACCGAACCCCATATATACCATGACGGGTTCGCGGGCCCACCCGGATTCCTCGGCGAGGAACACGTTAAACCGCTCGACCGTTTACCGGTTTGTGGGGCCCACGTGCCAGTCGCAATTACCCGGGAAGCGGAGGGGGAGACTGTAAATTCGTTAAATTATTTTTCTTTTTCGTTTTTTTTTTTTGTTTTTGATCGGATCGCCACTAGTGCGCCACATTTTTGCATGGGGCGTTTGCTATTTTAGTGCGAAGAACACGGCGGCGACGTGCGCGAGACGAAGCCCCCCGCGGGTTTGATTTGATTTGATTTTGATTTTGATTTGCTTCTTCTTGGGCGTCTCGGAGGCGTCGCATCGCGATCGATCATGGAGGTAAGGTGACGAGATGGGTGTTGGGTGTTTGCGATCGCGGGGTTGGTGGTGGATGCAGATGAGGTGTTCGATGTAACGCCGGGTGGTTTTGTTTGGTGCAGCAGAAGGACAGCGGCGGCGGCGGCGGTGGGTTGGCGCGGCGGTTGATGCTGGATGCGAGCGGGAGGGAGATGGACTCGCCGCGGTTCAGGGCGATCCTGCGGGCGACGAGCGGGCGGCGGAAGCGGGCGCCCGACGTGAAGAGCTTCTCGCACGAGCTCAACATTCGCGGGCCGCTCCTCCACCCGCTGCAGCAGCGGAAGCCGCGCGGGTGCGTGAACAGCCCGGAGGAGTTCATCGGCGCCATCAGGACAAAGTTCATCAGGCTCAAGGAGGAGGTCGACGCCGAGCTCGGGGTGTTCGCCGGGGACCTCGTCGGCGCGCTCGACAAGGCCGACGGGGACGAGGAGCGCGTCGCGCTCGAGGACCTGCTCGTCGTCGCGCAGCGGTGCGCCGAGATGAGCCCCGAGGAGCTCTGGGTCAAGTGCGAGTGCATCGTCCAGGGCCTCGACGACCGCCGCCAGGAGCTCACCGCCGGCGTCCTCAAGCAGGCGCACACCCGCGTCCTCTTCATCCTCACGCGCTGCACCCGCCTCCTCCAGTTCCGCAAGGAAGGCGGCGGATACGTCGCCGCCGACGACAAGCAGCACGTCCTCAGCCTGCACCAGCTCAGCGACCTCGGCCTCTACCCCTTCAAGGTCGCCGGCGGCTCCAGCGAGCTCGGCCGCAAGAGCACCTCCAGCTTGACCGAGCTCAAGGAGAGGCTCATCAGGCGGAGGATGCTGGAGCACAAGCAACTCACCCTCGACTTCTCGGCGGGCCGTGTCATTTCGTCAGACACCGGCGGCGATTCCCCGGGCAGCGGCGGCAAGATCTCATCCTGGAAGAAGCTTCCATCCCCTGCCGAGAAGACCCTGCACAAGGTTACGGAACCGACAACGGAGGAGAAGACCACCCCTACAAAGAAGAAGGCCATTACGAGGAACAAGGTCGCCGTGGATGAGATCGTCGAGAGGATTGACGCGGCTAGCATTCACCCCGACGGATTGTCATATCTTGGGGACTCTGCTGTGAAGCTCGAGGTTCCATCTGGGTTCCCAGAGGCTCAGCAGATCATCGTCGACGGGAAGCCGAGGATGATATGCAGGATCTGTGACTTTGAGATCCCCATGGTATGCGCAGAAGGGCACTTCATAGTGTGCACATTAGCTGATCGGTGTGATTCCAAGGGCCTGAATACGGACCAGCGGCTGCAGAGGGTTGCCGAGGTGCTCGGGAGGGTTTTGGGTTGCTTTGAATCGAAGAGCCCGCAAACTGCAGAATGTAATCATAATGAGACTGCAAGAGGTAGCACGTCGAGTTTAACGGAATCCGATGGATCCATGGATCATGATATTCTGTCTCATCTGTTGACAGTGCCATCGACAGAGTTGTTTTCAGAGGTAGTTGCCTCTTCTTCCTCAAACAATAGTATCCTTCGAAGAAACAATTATAACTGCTCTGTTTTGATCATATGGATTGTGGACATTTTGCTGGTGAAATTGGCAGGGAGCACTCACACCAGCGTCAGGCAGCATGCCACAGTCACCATTGCTGACACCAAGAACTAGCCACGCAGAGTCACAGCTGACTAAACACAAGGCATTCGTGGAACTAGAGAACTTTCAGCAGGTTTGTGCATATCAACTTAATACTGATCCTTGTTTCATTAAATTCTGTTCTTGTCAGAATGTTAGTTGGAACATTATTCTTTTGAGGTTATGTTAAATTTTGCTTCTTCAGTGATCTAGACTGGTAGTTTACCATACTGGCAGGTTGAAAGCTTAATGACTATTGCTAGAGGCATCGAGAGAATAAAAAACTCTGAGTACAACTCGCTTGAGGACTTGAGCTCTTATCTAGAAGATCTAAATGCTGTCATTGACACAAGAAAAGTGGATGCCCTTGTTGTGGAGACATTTGGAAGAAGGATAGCTAAATTACTACAGTAAGTGCAATGCCAGTTTAATTGTTTTACATGTGTTTGTGCCCCTTAGCATCTTCAGATTTATTTGTCCTTAGCAGCGATATACGCATTGCTGTTTCATTACTCAAATTACACTACCTGAAAATATAGCCCTGAGTGTCTCGTTAACATTATGGCTTCTCAGGGAGAAATTTATTCAACTATGCGGACAAATAGAGGACTCAAACACTGATTCATTAGGTTCAATAGACGAAGATGGTCCTATGGAGAGTAGTGTAAGCTCGAGAACAAGCCAGATGAATGGTAAATTCAAAGATCGTACCTCAATTGAGGACTTTGAAATTATAAAGCCAATCAGCCGTGGTGCATTTGGGCGTGTGTTTCTTGCAAAGAAAAGGGTAACAGGAGACCTTTTTGCCATCAAGGTAATGGTCATTACACTGGGCCTTCAGATTCTTATTTGTGCCAATGTAGTAGTGTCCTTCTGGATCAAGTGCAATAAGAGTATAAACTTAAAAATAATCAATTTTGGCTTTTTAATTCTCCTTCTGTTGAGAAAAGGAAAGTGTTTGAGATCCTTTTAGTGTGAATTTTGAATTTTGATGAAACTAAATGGATGCTTTGCTTCAAGATTATTAGAGAACTCTTCAAATGAATAGACTAGGATAATTCGCCGGCCCGGCGAAAAAGAATAGACTAGGATAAAAAAAATATAGCACTTACATAATTGAATTGCTAGCTTCAGTGGTGGCTTTTATCCTGATGGTTTCATCTTGAATCCAGGTGCTCAAAAAGGCTGATATGATCCGCAAGAATGCAGTGGAAAGCATCTTGGCAGAACGTGATATCTTAATATCAGCTCGCAACCCATTTGTGGTAAGTACTTCGAATGTTAAGTAAAATGAAATATTGGATTTCATTTAACTTCAATCTGTAATGGACAGGTTCGATTTTTCTACTCCTTCACATGTAGGGAAAACCTTTATCTTGTTATGGAGTACTTGAATGGAGGAGATCTGTATTCCCTCTTGAGAAACCTAGGTTGTTTAGATGAAGATATGGCAAGGACGTATATGGCTGAACTTGTAAGTTATGAGTGTCTTTTATTTCCTGAAAGTATTTTACAAACAACTAAATCAGAAAGGTCCATCCTTAGCCATTCCTTTATTTTAAAAGTTTTAATCGTAGGCATTTTTATTTCTATCTGTAGGTTCTTGCTTTGGAGTATCTGCATTCTATGAATGTGATTCATCGTGATTTGAAGCCCGATAACCTTTTGATCTCCCGTGATGGCCATATAAAGGTAATACTACCTTCTTATTTCTTTTCTTTCAATACCTATTACCTATTAGGTTCTTATGTGTTTAGTGTTGTTATCGGTGACTGATGATTAGATTGTCTGAGGAAAATTGTTGCTGTACTTTCAAGTCTTATAAGTATTTTTTTCATGCAATAGAATGAAGGCGGTTGTCTATTTCCGTGCAGTTGACTGATTTTGGGCTATCAAAAGTTGGTCTTATCAATAGCACCGATGATTTGTCTGGTCCAGATGTCAGCAATGTTCTTGTTGGTGATCATCAACCTGCAGATGCAGAACAACGTGCACAAAAGCGAGAGCAAAGGCAAAAACAGGCAGCTGTGGGTACTCCAGACTATTTGGCCCCTGAGATACTGCTAGGGATGACCCATGGTCTGTTTGCATCTTTTTCGTAGAACTTACATTTACTTTAAAATGTTTAAGTCAGTACTTTAGGGTGTTGAATTTATTACATATAACTTATGTTTACCTTCATCGAAAAGTGAAAATGCATCTTCTATTAAAATATATGGCACTCTTACATGCAGGTCCAACTGCAGATTGGTGGTCAGTTGGCGTCATTCTCTTTGAGCTTCTTGTGGGAATTCCTCCATTCAACGCTGAGCATCCGCAGGTAGTCTTCTATCCTCTCTAAGGCTCTGTTCTATTTCTTCAATTCCAACTTCAACTTCCTCGTTAAATGATGTATTTTTGACAAAAAGTTTCTATATAGAAGTTGTTTTAAAAAGCAAATAAATCCATTTTTTAATTTTTTACAATAATTAATACTTAATTAATTAGGTGCTAATGAGCTTTCTTGTTTTGAGTGCGCCAAAAATATCTCTCCCAAGTCAGGGAACGAACGGGGCATGTTTGATAATATAGTGACAAGCTGGCTCTAACTAATTTGTTGGTACTACTAACATGTTGGTTGTCTGTTGGAACCATTCTAAGAGAGAGAATTTATTTACTGAAGAAGACGAATATTAGTTAGAGCCAGTTTGTCATTTAATTACTCCAATGTCTCGATGCTTATGGTCTATCAAAGGTCTTCCAGCAGTAACATAACAATGTTGTTTATTTACAGATAATATTTGATAATATAATGAATCGGGAAATACCTTGGCCACAAGTACCAGAGGAACTGAGTTTCGAAGCATATGACTTGATTGACAAGTAAGTCAGAAAATTATTATTTTGGAAATAATTGCTATCAACCGTTTATTTCTGTTCATCGGTATTTCTTGGTGAATCTGTAGTGTTAAATGTCCAACAAATCTGCATTCTACAGATGCTATTTTAACTCAGTTAACTTTCATGTCAGGTTGCTAATTGAAAACCCTGTACAAAGATTAGGAGCAACTGGTGCTGGAGAGGTACTCGTTTTCCTTTTTCGTATTCCAGTTATACCTCTTATGTACACACCACTAACTGACATATGCTATTAGAGCAGGTAAAGGCTCATCCTTTCTTCAAAGATATAAATTGGGATATGATTGCCAGACAACAGGTTAGAAGCTAAACTAATGGGCAGTCTGAAAAACAGGAACCTCAAAAAACTGCCTCCAAAGAAGTTTCTGAACTGGATTCAATTTTTGTAGGCTGCATTTATTCCTTCTACAGATGATGAATATGATACAAGTTATTTTGCCTGTCGTCACACATGGGACGACCAAGTGAATGTAGCCTCTAACGACTACGACGATAGAAGTGAAACTAGTAGCATGAGTTGTGGCAGTAGTCCACACAGTTGTGATTATGAGGAAGATGTATGCTAGATCAATCCCTCTAAAATCCCCCTTCTGATTTAGACATCCAAATCATTATGTAGCCCACACCTCATACCTCTAACCTTTTCTAAAAAACATTAACAGGCGGATGAATTTGGTAGCATGGAAGAATTCGGAGCTCCATCACTGTCAGTGAAATATTCTTTCAGCAATTTCTCATTCAAGGTAACCCTCACCTGAAGTTCCCACGATATTTGAATCTTTTTCTCGGTTAGTAAGTTTTTTTTTTCTTTTCCTTTGTAAACAGAACATTTCTCAGTTAGCATCCATGAACTATGATCTGATCACAAAGCATAACGAGGATCCCCTACAGTCTTCAAAATCTTGAGAGTATGCACTCCCTCGACATGGTAATGTCTCATTGTTGAACTGGTGTATCGTCCTTGATACCTTGATCCTGTGTACAGGGCCTGCAAATCAAGCTACTAAACTTACCATCTTGGGTCTTGTCAGGCAGGCTGCAGGAAGGAGCTTCCTCAACAGTGAACTCCCACAGTTTTGCTACAATGGTTTGGTCGATGACAAATTGATAATAGGAATTTCCTCGGCAAGACTGGTTCAAGTAATTTTTTTTCTCTTCAGTTTCTCTCCAGTGAGCAAAGAGGTGCATTTCTTCATGGCAAATGCAATCTGTAATCATTGAAGAAGAATGGATAGGTAGCACAGGAATCATAGGAAAGAATGGCACCCACTGTTTTGGCAAAATAGGTATACCTTTCTCAAAACTTGTGAGTGGTGCAAGATTAAGTTGTTTGGTACTTTGGTGCAGTGTTTTTTTGCATCAATAGTAGAAAAAAAAGTTTATAGCATATTTTACCCTATTGTATTTATTCTCATATTTATTTTATTGCTGTTGAGACCCATTACTAGCTGAATGATCAATGCCCTGGTTTAGTCCAATATATATGCCAAAAATGCTTGCTGTGATTGGCAAATGGAAGTTGCAGATCTTACTCTCAAGGATGAATTCAGAATAGGAAAATACTTTACAGCTAATTACCAGTCTTTCACCTACACCATCCATGATCAACCACAAAAGAAGAGAATCCAAACGAGCCAGGAAATCACCACACACCACAAGAATTAATCTCTATACGCACATGTCGCAAATACCACAAGCTCAGACACACAGAGAGTCCCCAAGAATCCAACCTCTCCAGGATCAGAGACATCGCAGATCAATCGAAGTAATTAATTAACTAATGTAAACTGAATCGAAACATAATCCTTACAGGTAATAATAAATTAACTAAAACCAAAACCGATCAAATTCGAAGCTGGGAGTTGCTTATTGGTTTATTGATTATTATCGCAGTATTCTAAACTCTTACTGCTAGCTAGAACGAAAGCTAAGATACAAACAGCTAGTAGTAGTGATCACATCTAGCTGCCACTGCCACTGCAAACTCTGCAAGCTTCGTCTTCTTCCTGCAAATCCGAGGCTAGCTAGCTAGCTGGGTGTGATTGCATGACGCGTCGAGGCCTAGCGAAAGGCCTAGCCGGTGGTGAGGAGGAGGAGGAGTTGCCCATCGCCGGTGAGGGGCGGCCGGCGACGTACCGGCGGCGGTACTCGTCGCCGTCAGACGACGGCTCCACCACGTCGGCGGCGAACCGCACCCTCCTCGTCCTCTCCCGCGGCCGCTGCGGCTTCTCCTGCTCCTGCTGCTCCTGCTGCTGCTGCGCTCGCGCTAAGAATGAAAAAGAAGTTGAATGCTAGTATCGATTTCGATTGGTCTATGGTGATTTTGGTTGTAGTTCGATCGATCGATCTCACCGATGGAGAGCTTGAGGTCGGCGAGGAAGCGGCGGTGGAGGGAGTAGGAGATGATGATGATGCCGGTGGACGCGAGAGCCAAGGCGATGAGCCCCATCGAGCCGCCACTGCCGCCGCCGCGGTCCATGCAACGCCGCCCTCCGACGAGTGTGGGCGATGGCTGCTGCTGCTGCTGCTTGAGCATGGCCGATGGGGGAGGAATGGAGATGGGTATAAGAGGAGGAGGCGAAGAGGAAGAAGACGAGGAGGGAAAAGCCGTTTTTAGAAGGAAACACACATGGGGAATGCAGCATAAAAACATTCTCTTTTAGAAAAAAAGAGATAAAAGGCATGCTGGCATGGAACAACAATGTATCAGTGGGCTTGATTGGCACAACCCCAGCTCCAGCTCCACCTGGAGCTCAACCAAACAGTTTCAGTTCTATCTAAAATGGGAGTGGACCTCTCTCATAAAATGAACTATAGAGGTGGAGCTGGATTTAGGCAGCTCCACAACTCCACTCTAGATCCAACTCCTGAAGCTAAATTTAGGAGTTGGAGCTCTACCAAACAAGCCCATCGTGGCCGCTTAGCTATGCCTTCTATGGTGTCGTCCAAGTTTTTACCAATATACACACGACGAGCCCGGGATCGGACGAAGCGTACGTGATGGTTTTTCGGTGTATCGCACCGGCTGGACGACGTGTAAGGAGATATGGTGGACATGGTGTGCATTTTGTGTCATCTTGGTGTTATTGATGCCGACACGAGGCAGTTTTGGTGAAGCGTGAGGCTTACTGGTGGTGTGTCGACGAGCGCGCAGAACACTGGGTGATGATGTGTAAGGGATACATATGCCAGCTCTAACTTGTGCCGGTATCTTTGTTTTATCGATGTGGATTTGAGACCTCGTGATCTTTTACAACAACCCTTTTAAAGTTTTCTTGAGTTAATTTGCTTACGAAATGTGATAACCAATGGGTATGTAGTCATCAGATAAGATAGAGATGCATAATTACGTAACAGGCAATAGTAGTATTGTAGCAAGGGAGAAAACTTACCGGTTGTGGTGACATACTGAACCCATATGCTTTATATGCTTATCCAGTTGTTTACTTGTTTACCCAGTGGAGGATGGCGTTTATTTGATAGGTTATCTTTTTTCTTGAGGCACAAATTACATAGTTTAGTTCCCAAATCAGCTCAGAAAAAAAATGCACGCATTAAATCAACAAAAACAACCTTCTCAGAACAAAAATATAACAGATATACAGGGGTAACACTAACGGTATAATACATTTGGAAAAATATGAACTTACAAGTTTTTTTCCTCGATAATAAACTTAAGCTATGCATATGGAATTTGTCATGGGGAATTTTTAGGATAAATTGTTCCAGATCCTCTCCAGGACCAACACCATTATCCTAGGCAATAGATTCGTTACCAATCTTAATAAAATTGAGGGTACGAACAAAATAATAAAACAATAAATAGTAAAGGTCACCTGAAAACTCGATAAACTATGTAAAAATTAAGAGACTAAGAACATAAACAGACAAATTAGCATTGAAATTACATTAAAGGGCTATAATTAATATACATTGCGTGCATCACACATATGGGTAAACCATGCCCATAGGTCTTGCAAAAAAGGAAAGGAAAATCATGTGTGAGGGATAAGGTGTAAGACCCAAATCGTAACTTAAGTAAAATGGATTATGCATCAAACTGTGGTGGATGACTAGTTTGATACCTCAGGATATGTAAACAAATGCTTTGAACACATAGAATTTAGCAAAACTTGAAGGAGTTTGAAGCAACATCGTCTAGAATATATCTTTTCTGCAAGAATAGGTAAGACCAAACTAAAAAGTATCGGAGTAGTTTTGCAAAGTTATTTTTCCACTGCCCTCTCCTAATAATCCTAACACTAGCAATAGCAATATTAGATGTGTTTACTCTATTTCAATGTTTTATTTGTGATTTTGTATATTACACATATACTTGAATAGTGATTCAAGCTATATCTGAGAGGAAGGAAAGATAAGTATGTAATCATAAGGGTTATTCGAAAGAGCTAGCTACTGTTGTCGGTGACATGGAACCGGGGTATCATGACTAGCGGATTGGGCAGCCGCGGTCACCCACGTGGCCCGAACCCCTCGGGGGGGTCGGGCCCGAGGGTGACGTGGCCACCCCTCCCTCTGTCTCCCCGAGGGGTCGGGCCGCTCCCGTTTCGGCCCCGAGGGCTGGGGCGCCCCGACCCCCTGTGGGATTGGCACCACGTGTGTGGGTTAGGTGAGCACAGCGGCGCTCACCTAACCGCATTTACTGCGGGTTGGACGAGCGCGCCACGCCGCATTTAATGCGGCGCAGCGCACGCTTATCCGGTCCGTGACCGGTCGCAGTGTGTGACCGGTCACAGACCGGTCAGATCGCGGGTTAGGTGGCAACAGGCGGCCTGTCACACGCCTCGCCCCGTCCCGTCGGAATGATGAGAGCCTCCAGGCGCTCGTCCCTAGCCGGAGCCGGCGTGCTAACCCCTGGAGTTGGTATGTCAGTCCCGGCCAGATACATTCCAGGCTTCATCGCAACCATTGCAAGGAAGTCATTGTATGAAGAAGGGCAGACGTGCAGCATGCTAAACTGACGTGCGGTGGACAAGAATGACCGGTTTGTGACTGGTCTGACGCCGGTCACGTCATTGGCAGGCAACCATGCTCCCACGTTGCATCTGCTTTCAGCGGAGTGGAGGTAGGTATGACCCATCCCATCGGAGGGTCATCCGGACAGCGGCCATCGCAAATCTTCGCCCATTAATGAAGGAATGACAGGGTTGTCCCCTGTGTCGGGCGAGTGACGGCGCTGAGCCTCACTGAAGGACAAGCTGTGATTTAGTTTCCGGGCGAAGGCGCGAACCAAGTTTTGGTCAAGATAGGGTGGGTCCCCATCCTAAAGAAGAGTAGGTAGGAGTGGTGCATGTGGTATCCCCTTGAGATATAAAAGGAGGACCTTGCCCACCGAATGGGGGGTTGGTTGATTCGAACTCCGGCCACTTGGTTCCAGAGCCTGAACTCTCTCTCGCTCTCGAGCTCTCTGTAACTCCTTCATACACAGATCCACCAAAACACAGGAGTAGGGCATTACGCTTCTCAGCGGCCTGAACCTGTCTACGTCGCCCGTGTCTTGCGCGATTCTTCTCGCTGACATCCTCAGATCGACGAGGGCGAAGAACCTCACTTAGCGCCCCGGTCGAACCGGCAAAGGGGGGCATGCGCGGTCTCCCGGTGAGGAGCCCCAAGCTCCGTCATCAAGCGCGCCAGGTAGAGGGCGCGCGTGTCATTCGAAGCCCTCGTCCTCTTTCGTGTGCGCCAAGCTTCTCCCGCTCAGCCCAATGGCCGAACGGGCAGTGGCGCACAGCCTCTCTCCGAACGCTAGTGGTGACGACGGGGAGCAGAACCCGCGCCGTCGGGCTCGCACCCCACCGTCCCCCTCTCGCCGAAATCTTGGGCGAGGGGAGGTGCTCGGAGAGGTCGGAGGATCCGCGACTTCGCTGCCCACGGACGACGGGGGAGGACGGCGAGACGGGGCGCGTCGTCGCCTCGTCTACGGCAATGGCGGCACGCCCCAGGGCGCGCTCCAGGCTGCGGGCGCACTCCTGCGTCACCCGCCCGTCGTCCCCGATCCAGAGACTCCAGCCCGACGTTGGCTGGATGACGTGGCCGACTTGGTCATGATGGCGCAGCAGCGCCTAGGTGCCGGCGGGCGGTCCTCCGCCACCGGGACCTCTGGCGCTGCCGCCGCTGGCTCCACGTCGTCGAGGCGGAGGGCGCGGCGAGCGGCGGCCGTCGCCCACCGTTCGTCCGCCATTCCCTCGTCAACGCCTCCGACCCAAGATGTGCGTGGGGGGTCAGATGCCTGGCTCGATATCGAGCGCCGGCGCGACGATCGTCGCGCCGCCCACGCAACGGAGGGCGCTTCCTCGTCCGGAGCGCCACTTCGGTCCGGGCACGGGGGCCGGCCCCCCGTGTCCCCGGTTGGCGGTGCCGGCTGTCGAGCCTTTGTGGCGAGCCTTCGGAACGTCCGTTGGCCCCCAAGGTTCCGGCCCACCATCACCGAAAAATACGACGGAAGCTTCAACCCCGCCGAGTTTCTCCAGATCTACACGACTGGGATCGAGGCCGCCGGGGGCGACGACAGGGTCATGGCGAATTTCTTCCCCATGGCCCTGAAGGGTCAGGCGCGGGGTTGGCTAATGAACTTGCCACCCGCGTCGGTCCACTCTTGGGAGGATTTGTGCCAGCAGTTCACCACGAACTTTCAGGGCACATATCCGCGCCCAGGCGAAGATGCGGACTTGCACGCGGTACAGCGAAGGGACGATGAGTCTCTTCGCTCGTACGTTCAGCGGTTCTGTCAAGTCCGCAACACCATACCATGCATCCCCGCACACGCGGTGATCTACGCGTTCAGGGGGGGCGTGCGGCACAACCGCATGCTCGAGAAGATCGCCTCCAAGGAGCCCCAGACCACCGCGCAGCTTTTTGAGCTCGCGGACTGTGTGGCTCGCAAGGAGGAGGCCTGGACCTGGAACTCCTCCGGCTCTGGCGTGGCAGCTCCGGCCGTCCCCGAGTCCGCCGCTCGATCAGGGCGGCGGGACAGGAGGAGGAAGAACAGGTCGGCCTGTTCCGACGACGAGGGTCATGTCCTCGCCGTCGAGGGCGCTTCGCGGGCCCCCCGAAAGGGGAGGCCTGCGAGCGACAAAAAGAAGGAGGCCGGCGCTCCCAGCAGGGAGCGCCCGACTGGCAAGTGGTGCACCGTGCACAACACCTCCCTCCACGACCTCGCGGACTGCCGCGCGGTCAAAAGTTTGGCCGAGCGGACGAGGAAGTGGGAGGAGGAGAAGAGGCAGGAGCGCCGTGAGGGCAAGGCCCCGGCGACTCCCGCCGGCAATCGGCGAGGTGAGGCCAAACAGAAGGCCCCCGCCGAGGACATCGACGATGGCGACGATGACCTGGGGTTCCAGGAGCCCGAGGCCACCGTCGCCACCGTCGATGGGGGAGCGTGCGCTCACGCTTCTCGCCGGAGCCTCAAGGCCATGAAACGAGAGCTTCTGGCCGCGGCCCCTACCCATGAGGCGACGCGGCGGGCGTGGTGGTCGGAGGTTGCCCTCACCTTCGACCAGACCGACCACCCGCCGTGCGTTGCTCGGGGAGGACAGATCGCGATGGTGGTATCCCCCACCGTCTGCAATGTGAAGTTGGGGCGTGTCCTCGTAGACGGGGGTGCAGCTCTCAACATTCTTTCCCCCGCAGCCTTCGATGCCATCAAGGCCCCGGGGATGGTGCTCCGGCCGTCCCAGCCGATCATCGGTGTGATGCCGGGGCACACCTGGCCGCTGGGTCACATCGACCTCCCGGTCACCTTCGGTGGTCCCGCCAACTTCCGCACGGAGCGGGTGGACTTCGATGTGGCGGACCTCAGTCTGCCCTACAACGCGGTTCTGGGAA